TTTTTTTTTTTTTTTTTTTTTTTTTTTGCATAGCATCTATTAATACTGTGTTGGATTAGTATTCCATGGAACACATTACAGGAAGTACTAGTCTATAAAAACTTACTGAATCTGAAAGTATTACAGACCATGGAGAACTTTAAGAATATATAAAGCCCCTCACTGGTTATACTCCTTTTAGCAAATACTTCTAAAGCTGACCTACCTGGAACCCTCTGAACATACTCCCAGCTGAACTGACTCTGAGGGATGGACCTAATTATAACTTAGTCAACATTAATTGACATGATAAGACAGCTTTATTAAGCAAAGCTATCAGGCAGAGTTTGGTCTGATCCTAAGTCTATGTCTTTGTATCTATTATTGCATTTGAAGGCCCATTTACCTGTGGAAAAGACTCCACTCTTGCTTGCTAAGATAGGAAACATTTCTATTCCTGGTGGCCATGTGGATCAGGGCCTCACAGGGAACATGTGGAGGCCTCACGCAGTAGAAACCTTCTTGGTCTCGAGCGTCCAGATACTGGCACAATTCAGCACTTGTGTTTAGGGTCAGGCCACATTCAGAGAGGACTTGAGAGGTGCCATTGGCAAACTTGCCAATGAAGATCACCCTGTCATAGCCTTGGTTCCTTGCCCTCCAGAGAGCCGATGCCCCCTCACTGGGGTGAATGAGCAGGAGAGACAGGGAGACCTGGCCCTCCCAGAACAGAGTGAATCTGACAAGGTAGGTCCCGTCGTTGAAGTCAGTCACCTTTCCTGCAGCACCTGCCTGAAGGGCTGGGGAGAACATCCTGGCCCTCAGGAAATCCCCACCATATTCCTTCCTGTGTCCGAAGTGGTCCCTCATCTCCAGCAGGATGTCCAGCTGATGCCCTCTGCAGTATGTGTCTCTAGGGTTGAGGATGGTGGCTGTGCTGTGGGTGGCGCTGGTTGTGGTATTCACATGGGTGAAAGGTCTGGGCGGGATCAGCTGGTCTAGTTTCTGCATGATTTTCTTTGTTCTCAGCTCAGTCTCTGTTGGTAAAACTGCTGGGTTCAGTGATGCTTCAGAGTGTGAGAACTTTGTGAGGATGCTCCATTGGTTTGGGGTGATAGGGTTTCTCAATCTGAACAAGAACTGAAGTATTGAAGGGAAAATGATATGTTATCAGCAAGTGATAGGGCATGCTTTTCAATGTAAATTATTATCGTTAATTTTACATCTTTCAGTGTGATAAATAACATGTCAAAAATCAATTCTAACTAGTTTTCAATTATAGAATCAGGAATTGATTTACAGGTAGTGTGACTTCCTCGGCTGCCTGCAGATGGATTATTTTAGTAGTCATTGACTTAAAAATTAACTAAATATGATAAATATATATCATTTCATGATTTAATTTTAAAGTTTTTCACTTTGCTATCCCCTCACTTGACTTTTCTTTATAAAAATCATATAATCATTTTATACATAGACAATGTGAAAAACAGTAAATTTTTAAAAATATGATCTTACCTAAGTTTTACTGTCTTTGTGGTATGTCTTATTTACTATGTCCACTCTTTTTCCTTCCATGCATATATCTATAGTTAGAATCATGCTAAATATATAGTTTTAGCACTTTTTTGCACATAATATCATGTGCTATAAACATTTTAATGTTGTTACATAATTTTCTTGATCATATTCCATCATGAAGATGTAACATGGGTTTTATAGCCATCAATATTGTACAATTAGATTATTTCTATTTGTTTTGATTTTACTCTTTTTATATAGGATTACTTCTTTATGGTAGATTCCTAGGGATGGAATTACCAGGATGGTAGATTCCTGGGGATGAAATTACCAGATCATATATTATTGAGTTAAGTATCAATCAGTCAAAGAATATAACATTTTTTTGTTTGTTTGTTTTTTGTCTTTTTCCGTGTCCGGCAACGGATCGCAACCCTCAGT